CAGATCAAAACGGATGTCACAAATTGTTTAGTCTAGATGATTAAATCCCTATTACAAGTAATATATTTATTATTCGGGATAAGTGTATTGCTTGTAGTATTGTATTAAATCATCTAAACTATTTGAAAATGTGAGACTCGTTTGGTCTCACTTATTTTAAAAATTAAAAAACGTTACTTCTTTAAAAAAAGTTATATTTATATTTAAAAATCTCAAAATCATCACCTTTTCAAACTACGAAAGTGAAGTTGAAAAAAAAAACGGCCGACAGTCTCAAGCTGCACTTTTTTCATCATCAGGTTCTCTACCTATTGTGGTCATTTTTGGGGATCCTTTGAAGCTAAATCTACCTACTTTCAATTTAACCAGACCTTTTGTAGTCAAATTACTCGTGGAAAGAGATATTATTTTACCTGATGTTACTGAAATCTGGCTGGGCACAACTCATAATGGATATTGACAACAAGTTATCATGAAATACAGACCTCCTTATTGTACTCACTGTAAGATGTTTGGGCATACTCTTGATAAATGTCACAAATTCCATCCTAATTTGAAATCTAAGGTTCAAGAGAATAAGGATGGGCACTGCTTTAGACATATTAGTTCCACCTGTGGAGGACACTACCACAAGACAGGAGGTGCTTGTTGCCCCTGTGCCCCCCCACTGACACTGCTGTTGCTGCGATTGATGTGATGCTGGATGGCTCTGCTGTGCAACCTACACCTTCAAATTCTATTGAAAAAAACACTGAAAGACTATTACCTACAAAGGAAAGTGTTCAGACTAATAATCAGGAGAACCTCGCAGCTCCCCATCTTCAAGAAGCATCCGGTGTAGAGACAACTCATACTTCACATATACTAGAACCTATTGTGGGTACAACGGTTGGTAATCCTTCTGCTACAGCTCTACCACCTCATCAGACTGATTCTTTGGATGAGGAATGACAGGTTTACACTTCCAGGAGGAAGAAGAAGAATGGATATCTATTTGAGCTCAGGAATCTTATGGATGATACTTTGGTTACTTCGGGTACTGGTACGTACCTTACCAATTTGTTAGTTGGATCCCTTCCGAAAACTAGAGGCAGAGACAATACTAAATTGAGATGACCTTCACTTTTTCCGCGCCCTAGTGGTTTTGGCCTTTTTTGTTTTTTAAATGTACCATTTTTTACTTTTTTTTGTGTTGTACCGTGTGGGTTGGGTGCCTATTTGGGCCCACTAACACAACCTATATGTATCTTTTCTCTTAATATATCAGCCCTTGGAATTTTTTCTAATATAAATATATATAGATATATTGATTCCTGTTATTCAACTCATAGTCTAGGTGACTACTCAAGAGATTTTTCTTTAAGAAATCACATGTACATACAAAAAGCTTAAGAATGTTCTAAGTTGTACTCTGTTAAGGAATCAAAGATATTTAAACTAAGCATAATTGGCCTTTCTAAGGCAACATAAGATCTTTAGAGTGACATACTGGTATTTTGATGGTAGCTGGTACAAGTGATCCACTCTATTGCTAATCTTTTTGGTAGTAGCGAGAGATGTTGGATATGCATCTGACCTACAATTTTATCAATTTTTTCCCATCTTATCCTAAAGTGTTAAGTTTATCAATAAAATCCTTTTATTTCATGCTAAAGTAACATTCCAAACTGTGTATAGGAATTTAACAAAAGTAAAAATTATCTTCACCCAAGAGTGAAGTTTCCCTTTTTTGTATAAATTGCACACTATGGCTGACTAGAAAAAAAGTTTACCCAGGCACAACAGGATAAATTGAATTGTTGACCTCATTTCTGCAGAAGACAACATCAGCATAACAGACTCCACAATGGGTTATCCTTAGAGAAACGTCACCATCTCGAAGGGCCCTGCATTATTTACAAAAGATAGTAAATCTATTATAAATAATATATCAACATTGTCCGGCCAGGTTATAAATGCACGACCCCATTTGAACATTGTCAGAATTTAACAAAGAAAATGCAAATGTTTCATTTGTTTCAAAACCAGTTCTTATTGAAATATTGAATAAAGGGCTACTACTTATTGGTATCTAGAATTATAAAGTTGGTGTCACTATAGGATATGCTAAACATGATAAACATTGATAATATTCAACAAAACCAATTACGAATGGTTGTAGAATAAGAGAATGTCAAGCAATTTTGATCCAAACAGAGTACAGTAGTGTAAGCTTTGCCCGTTATGCCGGAAATGAAATAGCAATGTAGTATTGCTCGTGGGAATTTAGAATGATAAAGAAGCATTGTTTAATTATGACTTCCTAATTTATCAACCCAATTATAATATTACAAGTAAACATGATAAACCAAAAAAATGAGAAAAATATCATGCACATAGTGGAATCATCAAGATCTATGTGATTTAGTGAGACAAATTATTTCTGCGGCCACATAAAAATCAAATAATTCACTATGCTTAAACAGAAGTACATTACCAGATTATAAGTTATACAAATTTGAGACAAAACCTGAGATGCCACTTTGATAGTCAGATGTTGTTGAGGAATTGTAGCCATCAATTGTTGTTGATATATTTCTTCAAAATGAAGGCAAACAAATCCTCTTCTTATTATCCAAAACTATAGAAAGGTGCATGTCATTGTTGCGCTCAGAGAAAATTTTCTTGTTTGAATCACGAATCAACACAGCAGAAGGGAGACAAATTATTTCGTTCTCTCTGAAAAGCCTACGATAGTTGAACTTTGTCATAATAGAAGTCGACCTCCTCTCACTATTCTGGTGAAAGCAGCTTTTGTCGTGAATCCTTTTGGCATATGAGATTTCAGGGGTAGCTAAAAGGACGCATATATAGATGAGATTTTACAGAATTTTAGAACTTCAATAATCCCATGCGTATAAACAAATCTAACAAATCTTAATCTAATATGTACAATAATGATGATATTGCATGTCATATTAAAATAAGTCAATTTTATAAGAAATTTATCTCTATATACTTATCAAACTTCTTAGAGATTAAATTAGAATGTACTTGCTTAATGGTTAGTGATTAAATAGCTCCATATGAGACATCCCAAATATTTAAACTCTCAGAACCAAAGTAATACACAATTTTGTCTGGTCCATATTTCGCATCATTCAAATACGCTAGAGAAACTCCAAAGCACTAATGTACACACCAAGATGGATCCATTAATATTGAATGTGCAACTATCACTGAATTTTAGTGCATTAAAAGTGAATATATTCTTGTTCTAAATGTTGTAAATGTATGACCTGGCATGAGGTAAGACCCTGCAACCAAATCATGATCCTTCTGGTCACCTTAAAAATTTTCCTCAGAACTTTTGCCTCTTTTTATTCAAAAAATCTTTCAAGCAACTTGGAAGCTAACACTTATTTTCATCCTCATATTGCAATGTTTTACCCAAGCTATTGAATCTAATACATCATCACTTAACATTGCAATCTACAGCACATAAACCCCACCAAATCTATTCAGTTCAAGACAACCAAAGCACGCTTATAGACATTAATCATCACTAGAGAGCTTATATCCTGCAACATGCAGAGCACTGGAGGATATTAAATTCCTCTACATATTTCAGATATACTTGGCTCCAGCCAACAAAATAGTCACACAATTATGTGTTATCAATTTCATAGTGCAAAAACATCAAATCTTACATACAACTCAATTTCTTATGTAAGCACATGAACAAATCTCCAAATTAGAACAATGGTGACTTGAAAAGGTTGAGTTCATAATTCACGGCTCTTTGACTTATCACTATCGATTAATAAAAAAGCATAATCAGATCAAGACCAGTAAAGAACTACACCTGTATGCATATTAACTTCTTGTAATTCTCATTAGCTTGTTTTTCTCTTCTCTTTAAGGCTATGAAATTTTTAGTTATTTTCCCTTCTAATGGTTAAAGTAAATGTTCATCTTGAATTTATCATGCAACTTACTCCTGCCATGATGAAAAATGGACCAATATTTAAAGGATCTCCTCCCAACCTACAATTAGTCTTCAATTGATTTATCATTTTCGTCAAATTTAGAAATCACATCTTTAAAAGAAATGTAATTTTTGCATCCTTTAAGCACAGTTTCATTTCCACATAGAATAGTATTCCGGAAGTGCTTAAAAAAAGAGAAAAATAAGCACAATTCAAACAATGCTTGACCTTTGTCATCAACAATTACATTAGTATTTCCCAACCATGAATGTTTGAATTAAATTCATTTAGATGTCATTTAATAGCACATATTTCCACATGTGAAGCAAATACAATCTGTGTACTTCTCAATCTCTAGCGTCCTGGACATTGTACTCTCCATAGCCTTTGGACCATAAAGTAACTGTGAAAGAGATCAAGCACAAAGAAAATATATAAAAATTTGAATGATTTGGTGAGATCCGCCAACGCCCATGGCACTAAAGACCAGATAATCCATTAAACTTCAAAAGAAGCAAATAAAAAGCTTAAAATTTGTACAAATTTATGAGAACAAGACTGAGGTGCCACTTTGATGCATTCAATTGTTAGATAGAAATAATAGTTGTGTCTGTGCGTGCGTGAGTGTGTTAGGATTAATATAAATTTGAAAAAAATAATAACTGCATATGAAAGAAAAGAATATTTTGCAAATTATTTCAGACTGATTACATTATTCTCATGTTATTTTGCATACGTAAACAACTTAAATCAACTCTCAATATATGATTTACAAAAATAAGGGTATTCCATGTCATATTAAGTGAATTATGACCATTTCACACCAAAATGAGAGCATAGGCTCCATTATTATATATAAATTAATAAGCATATATTATCAAGCACCAATACATCTAAGTTTAAGAAGAATTTGAAAGTGTGGGGTTAGAGACAGTAGGAAAAAAATAATAAAAAGGTTATAGTAGTTGTCCAACATAATTACAAAAATACTAGCCAGTCAAAATTGTTATCTAACTCTGAACACAATATAATTGACTTTTATATTTAGTGTGAAAGTTAGTCATTACTCATAACATTTGTCATGGTTATTACATTCTCCATGTCATTTGCTTTATTATCACTGTTCCTTACATCAAAATTAAAAATGTTTGTCCAGATTGCATTGGAATTTCCTTTGTTTATGACAATTGGCTATTAAGAATGTTATTTTATTATAAAAAAAAGTCCTAACCAAGTTTAAGGAATGGAGTGGTTAAATAATAATGGCTTCTGTTTGGCTTCTTTAGCTCCTTTGTGGATGGTTTTCTCTCCCGTACACATCATTACCTATATTCATAGCTTCCCCTCATATCCCTCTCTCCTTCAAATACCTTTGTCTCTAATTTCACTCTCTAGGCCCTATTTCTTCCTTTGGTCCTCTTGCTCGCTACAACGAAACTCATTCATTTACCATCTAATCATTGTTTCCTTTTCAAATACCTTTGTCTCTACTTTCACTCTCTAGGCCCTATTTTCTCCTTTGGTCCTCTTGCTCGCTACAATGAAACTCATTCATTTACCATCTAATCATTGTTTCCTCCAAAAATTAGCCATAACATTAATATCAGTGCTTCTTGCTAGGAGTCTGGCCACAACCTCATGAGCTTTTCTCTTTCAACATTAACAGAAAAAAGTTTAATGAAACTGAAAAACATTATCTATTTTAAACCTTCTGCTGAATTTGTAAGGTGAGAGAAATCCAGATGCGTCTCTTGCTGCCCATCCGAAGCAATCTCTGTTCTCTCTTTCGGAAGACATGGATAAGAATTTGCTTTTACTGCAAAAGAAAGAAAAAAAAATTAATAAAACACAGAACAAATGCAATGTTATGTTTTTGGAAGGTATCAATTAATCAATTTGGTGAAATTTTGATGAATGAATATGTAACAAAGATCTTTTTTTTTGCTGGCATCAACATATCCCTCGAATCAATGCAATCTACTTAAGCTATCTAAACAATGATATGTTTTTAAGCTCCACGGCAGGGCTGAAATACCCGAAAGAGTTTTACTTCAATATATTAGATGTTTGGCTTAGTAAAATAAGTGAAATTATATTACTTTATAATTCACTGTCTTTACAAAATTGATGCCAGTAATGAACCTAATTGGGCTGCAATTTTTCATCAAACGGTTATTTTACATGCATTATATACGCCCAAACCACTCTCAGCAGCTGAACAACTTGATTGAGTTAGATGAATAGATGTTGAAATATAAGTTACATAGCTAACCAATCCAACTAGCTTGATGAGTGGACGGTGCAATATAAGGGACTCAGCTACTCTATTGAAGTTGCTCCACATACAGTGATGGAGGTTCTATGAGCAAGGTTAGACAAACGTGTCAATCCGAGATATCAAGAAAAAGATCATAAACGTGTATGTATTCAAAAACATGGCTAGAAATAAAATTGGCTTGGAAAAGTTTTGAATGCAAATTTCTTTCATTTTTCAAAATATATGTTCTTAAATAATAGTATGTGTTTGCAATTTAAAAATGCAATGTAGACTTGAGCAAAAATCCCACTTCTCCATCTGAAAAGAAAATAATCACTTCTAAATACAAGTCTTTGAAGGTTCTCCATCTCCATTGCTTTCAATGACTCTTATCAAAATTAGCATGATTTCAGTGGTCCTTGAATTTTATGGCCTTACACTTGAACACACCAATGGGGTTAACAATAATGTGTTAATTTTAAGCCAAAATGTATTAACTAGATAAAGATAAAATTATATAAAATATATTTATTAAGAAAGATCAAAACAGAAAAAGGAAAATATAACAAGGCAAAAAATTTTAAAAAAAATTCATTTAGATTATCTATATTGAACCCGAATAAAAATAGGAGAATAATGATAGAATTTATTATGATCCCAACTCGTTGAAGTATGAAGGATGTTAAATCTTTTATCCACCAGAGAATCAATGCTGTGAATACTCCAATCAGAATAAAAAATTGTTGTGAGGAATAATCATCATTTTGATCAACAATTGAAAGAGGATGAAAAAAATCAATAGCGGAGTATTGATGACAATAATATTTGTCGTTAATGAAGTAATCACCACCACAATTTCCTAAAAAGAATCTAAATGAGGCACCAAATTTTGGGAACAAACCCAAACAAATGAGTAGGTATCTTCCACCAAATAATATAGAGGATCAATAAGAACATCATGTGAAAGTCCTGTGACTGAAATGTATGTTTGTTATCATCAAAATAATAAATAAGTTTTTTAGAGTTCTTGGGACTATCTACGCAATTTTACAAAAGCAAATATATGATAATGCAAGCAAAAATGTGGGCAAAAGAAAGCTACCCATCAAAATATGCTTCAAGTAATATCAAATAAATTGGTATTAAAATAGTTAATATTTAGATGACAAGAATAGTGCATTTCTCAGTAGTCACGAATATCACCATTTCAATATATATCATAAGTCGCATGAATAAGATAATAATACCAATAAATCCATATAAATATCAACTAACATCAAGTGTTCTCCCCCTTTTGACATCATAAAAAAGGAATGAATAGCAATAAAGTACCAATGCAAAGTATCAACATAGCAATAATGAAACAATCTAAAATACAAATTATCACCATGCACTCCCAAAGTAGTCTAGAGGTGGAAGAAGGGAGTTAAAAGGCAAAAAGTCTTACACTTGACATATTTGATCTTTTAACCAAATTGTGTGCTTCTCCGGCATCACTGATTTAATCAAATACTTTGACCATATTCTTGTACTATGTGTTGATTTAAGTAAACTTCCAAAAGGTTGTGAGCTAATGCCCTTGCCAAATTGTGATGGTTCACCCAAGTCAAGAGCTGATCATATTATATAATAAGTTCAGAAGAACCAAATTTCTTTCACAAAACTAATATTTGAATTATCTAATCTCTCCTATTCCTATTGCTGCCAATTGGTAACATAGACAATGATCAACTGGTTTAATAATTATTTCAAAAGTCATTTTGCTAAGATAAACAATACAACAAAATTAAGATTATTGTGCCAATAAAATATAAGCCCTTGGTATTAACATATATTTTTTTAATCTAAAACAGAAAATTTGATGTAATATATAAATTTTATGAAAAAATATTCACTTCTTTGAGAAGAAAAGAACCAAAAACATGCAAAAAAATGAAAACAAACCTAAATTCATGTTATGGAAAGAATGTTAAAATTCTTAGCTATACCTAAGCAGAGGAGAGAAAAAAAAGTTGTTAAGTCAAAACACAAAAAAAAAAAAAAACAAAAGCTCGAGACATCATAAAAGACGATAAGAAGTTAGAATAAGGAGATAGAGTGTTGGTGCAACATCATATCACAAAAATAAGCCTGAGATGAAGGCTCAATAAAGGAGCAGGCTTGGCATTCGACGGAGGAGAAGGCTTAGCTACTGGCAAAGGAGCTTTGCATGATAGCTCATTGAGATGGGAGAAATATCTAGTGCTAAGGCAGAAATGTAAACACATGTTATACCTAAACATCAAAACATGAGGCACCTTGGCGTTATAAGAATTTTTAAGTAAATTGTACTGAAAAATATTATAAATTGGAACCTAAAAATAATTGGAGAACATGACGAGACTGAGATGAAAGCCATTGCAGTTAACTTATTCCTCAACATCAGTGGATCAATGCTTGCATCTACAATGAATCTTTCTTTGTTGTCCTAATGAGTAATAGACTTGTCACCATTATCCCTATAGCTTGGATTGAACCTTCCAAGTGAATGTGCACAAATCGTCTTCTCCTTCCCCTTATCGGCCCTGCTTGATCCACAACATATTAAATTAAGTTTTCTATGGTTAAATTCCTTCATCCATGAATTCAGCAAACAAATTATTCTATTTTAATATAAATCTAATTTCTAAACCTAATAAATGTTAAAAAAATATCTTTAAAATCAATGACTGAAACTGTTGCCCTTAAAGTCATAATATTATTATTTATATAAACTAAAATATAAATATTTTTTATAATGAACAAGATTTACATTTCATTTGCAACTCATGAGGTGATTAACAATATCTTGTAAATTCAACTCATATTATAGGGTCATTTTATTACTAAATAATTTAAGCTTATATAATCCTTAAAATTTTGTATATTTCTTTTCTTTAATCTAAGCCACATATGTTTAGATTTAGTAGTGCTCGCTCGTGCAAGAGAGTAAGTTATAATCAACTTTTTCAGTTTAAATAAGTGAGGTTTGTTAGCAAACCTAAATTTAGTGAATTTCTAGCCTAAGAGTTGGCTAGCGTGATGTAGGCTTGATCAGTCAAATCATTTAAAAAAAGTGTCTGATATTTCTTTAACTTTGATTGTGATATCTTACTATTTAATTGTAGTTTTGTAAATTGTGTCAGTTCATATTCTTATAAATTAGCATTGAAATTATATTAAATATTTTTATCACTCAAAATGTTTTAAAAGCCACAATTCAACAACCCCTCGCAACCCCCCCACGCCCCCCGCTTTAGGGTGTCATATTCATCTTATAAAGTGTCTTATCAGCTGATTCACATTGTATTCCAAGACCAAAGAAGAGACACTCCAATCCGCACTTTAAAATTTATTGGCACAAGAATGCATTGCCTTTGACATTATGAAAAACATGCAAGTAAAAGAGATGGAAGTGATTCTAGCATAATTTAAGAAATAAAAAAGAAGAGAGAGAATGAGAAAGTTCAAATAAACTAAGTTGTCAGCAATTCATAGGAAAGAAAACAGAACTCAAGGCATTGCGCCGTCATTTCATGTAGTCACATAGCCCTTTGTCATCAATTATAGAATATTTTGAAAAGACATCAATTACATCATCACAAAATTAAAGAAGATTAAAAACATAAAATTATCATAGATTTCATGGTACATCAAACATGATGAGTACTATTCGTTGTTGGACTCCAAACTCAATCACGAAGAGGAAGTTGTTTCACTTAACAAAGCTTGCTTCGTAGGATTAAATATTAACACATTAGAAAGTAAGCCTCTACAAATGAATTGTCACTTTATGAGATCGATACCAACAATAAATGGATCTGCCTAAGAACACATACTTCTCTACAACAGGAGAGCCGCACTATTCAAATTGTCCAACTCCACTCTTAATTTTTGATAACTTCGAAACAATTTGTCAATAAAACATGTTGGTCGGGTTCTCAAGTTGAACCTTCTTAGACCTCCTAAAAAGTTGGATTTCAATGATCTCAAAAATTCTCAATTTCTCTATTTGTGTATTAGCCAATGGAGTGAGGATCACATTATTCAATAATTCAAAGTCGAGGGCGGAGAAAAAGGCTCTATCGAGTCACTCATTGCTACTCACTCTTCTGAAGGTGCCTTTTCCACCATACTAGCTATGAAGCATGCCAGAGAGTCGACTAGCTTCTCTCCTTTGTCAAGTAGTAGAGATAATATGATATGCTCATGCCTACGTCAGCCGATGGGAGGGCCGACAATGCAGACGAGCCAGTACAAAGAGGACTGCTCTGGACCGACCAGACCCCAGCCAAGCCAGCTGGCGGCCTGGCCCAGCTAGCCGGCCAGACCAAGAGAAGCAGGATTCCCAGGAGCGGCTGAGGGTGATTTCAGTGCCCGGGTGGGGCCCATAGCCAAGCCAGCTGGCGGCCTGGCCCAGCTAGCTGGCCAGACCAAGAGAAGCAGGATTCCCAGGACGGCTGAGGGTGATTTCAGTGCCCGGGTGGGGCCCACGCCGCCGCTAATCACATACAAGAAGAGGTCAATCAAAGCGGGTTTTGGGGGGAAGTTTGAAAGGGATCTTGGGGAGTATTTATTGGTGCTAAGGGGCGAGGGTTTGTGGGGATGTTTTTTATTTGTTGTAATTTTTCTTTTCACTTGGTGTTCCTAGCGGCGTCTAGGGTTTGTAGAGAGATGATCTAGCTCTTGAATAGTAGATCAACATTGTATCTAAGTTTAAGTATGATTTGGGAGCAGATTCTCATGCAGGACCAGTGGTCGATTGCTTACTTTAGCCAGGTGCTCACAACTAGGGCGAGAATCAAGTGTACGAGCAGGAGTTGATAACTATTTTCTTGGCAATTTAAAAGTAGCAATCCTACCTATTGGAAAAACTTTCTAGTCAGGTCAGATCAGGGGAGCTCAAAGTAGCTTCTGGAGCAGAGGATGATGATTGAGGAGCATCAGAGATGACTATCTAAGTTGTTGGGGTATGATTTTGACATTCAGTACACGTTAGGGTTGGAGAATAAAGCCACAGATGCACTGTCTAGAGAGGTGGAGGAGCCCCAACTGACAGTCTTATCGGTACTGTAGTCCTAGATTAGAAAGTCCTAAGATGGGAAAGTGAGTTGGATGAAGGGCTGAGGAAAACATGGGCACAACTGCGACAGGATCTGGATAGTCGTTCAAGATATGCATTGCAGTTACTCTACTGGAGGTGATTCGTATTTCGAAGGGCATTGAAGTACTTCCCCAAACTATTCCAAGTGTTTCACGACAGTGCAATTGGGGGGCATTAGGAATCTAGATGACAAATAGTCATCAATATATATAAATTTATTTGGTGGGGATGCACAAAGATGTAGAGCAAATGATGACAAGGTGCAATGTGTGCGAACGACATAAGTACTTGACCATAGTGCCATAAGGGTTACTATAGGCCTTAGCTTTATCGAAGAAGATTTGGGAAGAAGGGACAATGGATTTTATAGAGAAGTTGCTATAATCAGAAGGATTTATGGTGATCTTGGTGGTAGCATATCACCTGAGCAAGCATGCACAATTCATTCCATTAAGTCACCCCTATATTGGGGTCTCAATCGCTATAGCGTTCATAACGGAAGTGCTCCATTTGCACGGAGTGTCGAAGTCTATTGTATCAAGCAGAGTGATACAGGGGCAAAGTGTCCTCAACAAATTATGAAAAAAGTTGTTAAAGTTACAAGAAACGACCCTTAAAGCACAACATATCATCCCCTTACTGACAGCTACACGGAGGTGGTCAACAGAAGTGTGGAAACATACCAACATGGTTTTGTATTGGATTCACCAAAGCATTAGACCAAGTGAATTGCATTGATCGAATATCGGAAATTTGTATGGATGGGAACCACCTCTACTGATACATTATGGTCATAGCACCATAACTGTATCCAATGTTGGCCAGTACTTGAAGGAAATAGACAAAATATTGACAGATTTCAGAAGACATCTACTGAGAGCTCAACAGATCATGAAGAGGATGGTGGAAGGTGATAAGAGAAGATACAATTCGAATCCGGAGACATGATCTACTTGAAGAAGAGGCCCTACCAACAAAAGACATTGGCCAGACAGAGGAGTGAGAAACATTCTATATGATATTTTGAACCCTATGTAATTACAACACACATTGGGCAGTGGCCAACAGTTTGAGGTTACAACCATCAACAACACTACATCCAGTTTTTCATTTTTCACAACTAAGTCGGGTTATAAGAGATGATACACCCTCATCTTTTATACGTTCAATGCTGACAGATGACATGGAGGTGATTCTAGATCCATTAGAGGATGAAGGAGTGCGCTGAGGAGTGGCTGGAGCAAATGTGTTACTGATTAAGTGGAAAGACCTGTCATATTATGAAGCAACGTGAGAGCCTTACGAATGGCTCCAAAAGCAATTTTCATCCTTCCATCTTGAGGACAAGATGCTACTTAGGTAGAGGAGTGTTGATACGCCTGTGCCTACTTAAGTCGACAGGAGGGCCGATTTGGACCGACCAGACCCAGCCAGACCAGCTGGTGGTCTTGGCCAAGTCAACTGGCCCAACAGCGAGAGGCGGGATTCCTAAGAGGGGATAAGGTTGATTCCAACACCCGGGTGGAGCAGACGCCGCTGCTAATTATGTACAAGAGGGCAATCAAGGAGGTTTTTTTTTTGTTGTGTGTGTGGGTGTTGGGGGGGGGGAAAGGGATCTTTGGAGTATATATTAGTGCCAAGGGGCTAAGGGTTTGTCGGGATGTTTTTGAATTGCTATAGTTTTTCTTTTCTCTTGGTGTACCTAGCGGTGTCTAGGGTTCGTGTAGAGACGACCTACCCCTCAAATAGTAGATCAGCGTTGTACCTTATTTGCTTTCATTAGTATTAGTAAAATCAACACTCCATTGAGTTCTCTCACATCTCTATTACAATTTATCTGATGTTAATTTGTTGTTCTTCGCTCATTTTTTCATAGACTCAATCCAAGTTGTGCTCAATAGAAAGAAACTCCCACAAGCTTGAGAAGCCAAAT